GCTAAATTAAACTTATAATTTTGCATGATTTAGTAATTTAAAATTGTGATCATTTTCATTATGACTTTGCAATATTTATTTTATATGATGATTTCATTATTATTTTTTATTGAATATTTTTGTGTCATCAGTACTCATCTCATATTTTGTGTTATTTTTTTAAGAAACACCTTAGATAATTGTATTTTGGTTGGACTAAAGAAATATTTTAGAGCACAAGTTAATTCTATGTTTGTATGCAAACTTTATCGAAAAAATCCAAAAATCTGAAAAAAATCTGAGGTTTATTATTTTGGTTTGATTTATAAATTTAAAAATTTGACACAATGGTTTGGTTTGGTATTTGAAAAATCCGAACCAACCCGAGGTTGAAAAACCCGAAAAAATCTGAATTTTGTTAGTTTGGTTTGGTTTATAAATTTAAATTTTTTACACAAATGGTTTGGTTTGATATTTGAAAAACCCGAACCAACCCGGTCATGTACACCTCTAGTCAAAACGGGTTAGGTAATAAGTTATATAACTGGTGAAGACCCAACCCAATCTATTTTTTACTAAACTTGATTGTTTTATTTGTTCTTTTGAACTATTTCCGTACCTAATAAAAAAAATCTTTATTATGGCTATATATAACATATCAAATTTGGAAACAAGTTTTTGAAAAATATTTTGACAAGATTTCTCATGAGTCAATTCGGGTCAGATATCAACCAAGTTTTCAATGAGTTGAAATGTGTTGGATTGAAAAGGGTTGAGCTAATGAATGAGCCGGTCAACAACTCGCCCAAACTTAAACGGGTTTGATGGACTGAGCGGGTTAAGTTTGATTTTGCCATCCCTAGCAAAAACCATGCTTTCAAACACATAACCCAATCCGGTCCAAAAATTATCTGAAATGTGAGAGTAACTTATTGAGTTGTGTCATTCATTTTCCAAATGAGATGGGATCAAGTCTTTAGGTTGTTTAAGTAGATTGAGTGACAAATCGATCAGAGATGTATTTTACACAAAAAAGGTGAGAATAATAAAGAAACGATGCAATCACACCAAATCGATAGTTTAACGAAATAAGACTTTTCGTTGTTATCTAACGATGAATTTAACGATACAATATAATAAAATTTAATTATAAATCAAGTCAAACATTATATTTAAACTAATAGATAACAATCATTCAAACAAGTTCAGACATATGGTTAAAGTTTGGTTGTTTTAATATGCTTGAATTTTAACAATGCATAACTTGAGACACCATATATCTAACATAATTAAAGTTATTTTGAAATGAATAGACGTAAAAGAAAATACAAAAAAAAAATACAAATTAAATAACAATATCTAAATAAAATACCATTAAATTTTCACTAGTAGTATATATCATACTAAACCGATCTAATTATCTGTAATTGTATGAACAAAAGAATTTGTTGCAAGTATAACTGTATAACCCAATTATATCAAGCCAACTAAAGTTAACATGAACGTTATATTTTGTAAAATAAATATCAACATCAGTGCAAATGCTATAATTGAAATTTATAATCATTCATTAATAAGCCATCTAGAATTTAAAGTTTATGAAATTTCAGTGATCTAGTATTAAAACGAGAACTTTAATGTAAGTATCCAAGCGGAATCAAACCCTCATTGAGGAGAGCAATGTTTATGCAAATTTCAATTGTATCGCTAGATCAAGAGCCTACTTTGTTATTAAATTCTCAATAAATATTTCTTATATTTTTAATTAACTTCTCAATATATATACAAGATCTTCACAAAAATTATTAGCTTTTCAAAAAATCACGCCTTATACCCTAGATCCGCCCCAACATTCATCTGTTATCTTCTAATATATGTACTCCAACTAATATGAGTGTTATGTTTGACTTTCATCTAAATTAATTAGTAAAACCCTACACCAATAGAAGGATTATATATATCAATTGTCAACTTTATGTATAGTGCCCTTATCTGTTCTTACTCATAGCCACCCCTATTAAAAATATCAAAGTCAACACAAGAATCTACCTAATGTCAAATTAATTGTTTTTGCCAAGTATTAAATATAGAATGCGAAAACAATGAACCATTAGCTAGATCAGAATATGTCATGGATGAGATAAATAAGAAAATTGTATCACATAAATTGGATGATAAAATAGTTATGTTTACTTCTTTATTATTTTTTTCTATCACGAAATACTGATATATATATATATATATATATATATATTAGTACCCTTTTTAAAAAATAAATTATATCAGCATATTCAATTTGTTTTTGTAATTAGTTTGGGTTTATTTTTGGTTTGGGTCGTGGACTCGTGGAAAACAATTCGAATTAGTATTTTTCTTAAAAGGATTTCTAAGAATATATATTCGTGTGTTACATTCAAATGAGTCAGCCTTGTGTTAAGTCTTGTAGCCCCAATTTACAAAATATCTTATAATTGAATCATAACAAACTATGTCAGCTCATCACCAATTAAACACTAACTAGTCAACTAACTAACAAATTAGTAACTAACTAATGAAATGAACAACAACTAAGTAATGTACCAGATTCATTGTGTGATATAGTCTACCTATGGACCAAGTTCATTATGTGATGTACTTGAACATAAAATTATAGTATATTAGGTTCTTAATTCCATTTGAATTGTAATTTACCAATGATATTTAGGAGAGAATTCTATGATAAAGATATACTCTTGGTATATAAACAAAAGAAGGAGACGTGTGAGATGGAATTTGTTGAAGTAGTGGTGATTATAAAGTTATAATTAAATTAAATACTCGTATATCAACATCAGGAAAAAATTTGTGAAATTCTTTTTGAAATTATAGTCTCACCTAAAAATTTCTTACCTACTTTGAGAAAAGAATGGCAATATAATATAACATAGATTTCTAATTAATTTTGATTGAATTAAAGTGACTTTTTATGGAAATAATTGAAATTATTCGAGTTACAAGTGTAGGACTATGGAGAAAATTAAAAATTGAAAACTTTTCCTATGTTAAATGCACTAAAGATATATTCAACTAATTTGCTTATTTGTTTTACTATCAAAAAGTGAAATTTGATACTAATAAAGAAATGAAATTTGAGTTTTTTTGAGGATGGGGATTGTCCAAATCATCTAAAGAGATTATCTATCTGGTTAAAGTCTAATGTGGAAGTGAGGCTCTTCAATATCGATTATGTTCCACGCCTAGGACTAAATATCTTAAGTTAGCATGGACAATATAATTTGGGGGATCCAACATCAGAAAATCAAGAAATTAAATGTGTTATGCTCCGATATACTTTAGTAAAGATATGTACTAGTTGAATCCCAAAAACTAGTTAAAAAGGTGAAGATTGTCCAAACATTATAACGAGACAATGTTATCACATAACTGCCATCACCAAAAGTTAATATTGTGGAATGGTAAATATTCATCTTTAATAAAATATCTAATTTTTCAATCCTAATTCCTAAGTGTATAGTCACTTTTGATATGGAGCATTTTATCGCCAAAATGAGATTTTCTAATGTAAATTTAGGGGAAAAGGTCTGAAATACATCCGAACTTTGACCGAAATTGCTGTTACGATACCGAACTTTGAAAAGGACCTTTTACCCCTCTACACTATTTAATAGTTTATTTTAAAGGTATATATGTGCCCACGTGAACATCATAAATATTGCATCATTATAAATAATAATGTGTCCACGTGGACACATATATACCTTTAAAATATACTATTAAATAGTGCAGAGGTAAAAGGTCCTTCATAAAGTTGGTATCGTAACAACAATTTCAACCAAAATTAAAATATTTTTCAGACTCTTTTCCCTAAATTTAAATAACCGATTGTCTTTAAGTACTAGACATCAAGTGAACGAAAAAGAGATTCGGGAAATGATACGTATTAGTAAAAGTTATGCAACAGAAGAGTATTATACTAGGCATTTTTATTTTTTCTTCAAGTTCACTTAGAAATTCAATTTGACAAAAGAAGATTATATACTATTAGATTTCTAAGAGACAATATCCCAACTACAATATCATGTCATATCTTAATTAACGATGTGGCGTTGTTTTTGTTTATACACAGTGAGTTACTGGAGAATTTATGACTTTTTTTTATGAGAGACGACAAAATATTTTATGTTATTATTATTATTATTTAAAGAAGATCAACAAAAAATTCGAATAAAAATTATCCTCCACACAAGTGCATGGTGATTTTCAATATAGCTTTGTCAATCAATACGATAATAATAGATAGAATCATCTAGTAATGTTTGTGTCTGCATATCTATATTATTATATATACGATTTAATTATTTTTAAAAAAATTCTACCTGAATATGAAGATGTTTTAATTTGTATACCATTTTGCTTTTGGCCAACCATTAATGTTTGCATCGAAAAGGCTATCTACATTGCACAATCTTGTGAAACAGTCCTGTTCTGTGTGAACACGTCTTGCTTCGTGCATCAATTACTTCTTTTTTTTTTTTTTTTGGGTCATGTAAACAACTTATTGGTAATAACTTAATTAACATATAGCCTATAGACACTATATAAAATGGTGATGCATCATGCATATCACACAAATTTTTAAGTTGGCAAAAGATATATAACTGCAATATAATTCAATTAAAAATACTATTGTGATGAAATTCAAACATTGTTATCACCTTAAATTAAAAATGATGACCAATTAATCACTTGGACTCAAGCTAATTAGTAGTTGATGAGTTTGAACATGCCATTAACTAACACAACCAATCTTTTATTTTTCATTTGTTCTTAGTTTATAATTCTATGCCCATTTTTTTTAATGTACAGGAAAAACACGTCTTTGATTAAACAATCAAAAGGATATATTTCTATAAATACCTAAGTATGCCCTCACCACTATCTCAAACTAAAAAGAAAATTTTTTGTTCTCTACTTCTTAATTTCTTTGTCCACATAACCAAAAAAACAAAAGGAAAAAAATTATGAAGATTAGAATAGAAAGTTCAAGAATCATTAAGCCTTTCTATGAACACACCCCTCCTCCTTCAACAACAAGCCACATTCCCCTTAGTGTCTTTGATAAGATCACATATGAGGCTCAAATTGCTATCATATATGCCTACCACCCTCCCACCCCACCAAATATCGCGATTGAATTAGGTCTTCGAAAAGCCGTAGGTGTTTATCGAGAGTGGGGTGGAAGATTAGGTGAAGATGAACATGGAAATCGAGTGATTCTCCTCAATGATGAGGGTGTTAAATTTGTGGAGGCATCGTCTAGTAGCACTCTAAATCAAGTAATGCCTTTCAAGCCTTCACCTTCTTTGCTTAGCCTACACCCTAGCTTGAAGGATGTGAAAGAATTGGTGCAAGTCCAATTAACTAGGTTCACTTGTGGCTCCTTGGTGGTTGGTTTTACCGCGCACCACACGGTAGCAGATGGTCATTCCACTAGCAACTTCTTGGTTGCATGGGGCCAAGCTTGTCGAGGCCTCAGAGTCAATCCTCTTCCTCTGCATGATCGTACTGTTTTCACCCCTCGAAATCCTCCTCTTATTGAGTATCAACATAAAGGGGTTGAATTCATGTCTAAGTCAAAAAAAGAACATTCACTTAATGAAGTTCATCATATATCTGAAGATGTGGTTGTACACAAAGTTCATTTCACAGTTGAGTTTCTCGCGAATCTTAAAGCAAAGGCTTCTTCCATGAATGGAAATAACAAGCCTTATAGCACCTTTGAAAGTCTCCTTGCACATTTATGGAGGGTCATAACCAAAGCCCGCGGGCTAAGTGGATTTGAGTCAACCCAAATAAGAATCTCAATCAATGGTAGAACGAGGTTGAACCCAAAAGTACCCAATGAGTACTTTGGGAACTTAGTCCTATGGGCATTCCCAACAACAAAAGTGAAGGAATTACTACGAAAACCTCTGCCACACGCAACAAAGCTCATTCATGACGCTATTGCAAAAGTAAACAACGACTATTTTAGATCGTTTGTTGACTTTGCTAACACCAAAGCAAAGGAAGAAGACCAACTTGTCCCCACCGCGGACATGAACAAGCACATACTTTGCCCAAATATCGAGGTGGATAGTTGGTTAAGGTTCCCATTCTACGACCTAGATTTTGGTACGGGGTGCCCGTACATGTTCATGCCTTCGTATTTTCCTACCGAAGGCATGATGTTTCTTATACCATCTTTCGTCGGAGACGGAAGTATCGATGTCTTCGTTCCTTTATTCGAAGACAAATTGCCCCTCTTCAAGAAAATTTGTTATTCCTTGGACTTGCTTGAAGATTAAAAGCTTCAAATTATTAAAATTGCTCTTACTTTATAAAAAAATTACTTAAGTTTTATTCATCAATAAATGTCAATTTTCTCACACAAATTAAATGAGTCGTTTTAGCCTTAAAATTCCCTACTTGTAACAATTTTTGTATGTAGATGAGATGTCAATTAAACAAAGATGTATTGTTTACACTGGCTCATACACTCAAAAATCTATTGTTCTTTCAGTAAAAGCAAAATGGAATTAGTTGTAAACTTTGTCACTAATTTATCCCTAGATTGTTCATATCTAACAAAACTTTTTAGTTATTTATCGCTAATCTATCACTAAATAAGATTAACAACAAACTTTATTGTTTAACTATATAATTTGTCCATCGTTGATTATTTTTCTTAGTAATGTTTTTCTTCATTGCAATTCTCTTTTTTTTTTTTTAGATGTTGCTTCTTTCTTTCTTTTTTCCAAAATGTTCGGTCTATTGTTGGGATCTAAATAATTTGTTTTGTCAATATGTAGAAGTAGAGGATTAGCACGTATTCATCATCATCATCATATATATATATATATATATATATATATATATATAATGCATGGGCATATTTAATAAATTATTTAATCTAAAATTATCCGCGCTTCGCGCAGGAATTTAATGTCACGGAATTTATAAAATAATACTTAAAACCTATCAGACATGAAAACTAAACCAATATATTAGCTTACATACAAGATTACGTAGTAACAAACATTAATAATGTAAAGGAAAATGAGAATTATTATATCTTATCATATATCCTTAATATTATAAGCATAAATAAATGATTGTAAGAATACATACCAGAATCTGTAACATAAGCAATGGTGTCAGTGAGCCACTCAACAGGAGCAAAGTACACAAACATTTAATTGTGAAGAAGAAGAAGAGGAGGTTCAGAGTTTTATTTTAAAATCACAGGAAATCCCGCTATTTATAGACAACAAAGGGTAGTGTGAACAAATGTTTATTCTACCTTATCAGAAATGTTATAATTATTTGGAAAAGTTGCAACCCTTCGAAAAGGTCACAACATTTCATAAATGTCGCAACTCTTCATTAAAGTCGCAACTTTTCATAAAACTCGCAACTCTTCATTAAAGTCGCAACTTTTCATAAAACTCGCAACTCTTCATTAAAGTCGCAATTTTTCATAAAACTCGCAACTCTTCATTAAAGTCGTAACTTTTCATAAAAACCACAACTTTTCATGAAAAGAGAAGGCCAGTTTTGAAAATAAATAAATTAACAGAGAATTCTGGTTTGTGATGGTGCCACGTAGGCGGACTTAAGGTTCTCTTTTATATATATATGATATGTAAAATTTGTTGCTTGACTTAATATTTGCCAGCACATCAATGTTCTGTGGCAAACTCTATGACTATAGGCAAAAATAAAAATCGATATGCGCGATCGGAACTTGGAATCATTCGAATATGTATTAGTTAGATCAATGAGTGTTACAAAAATTAGATGTTTATATTAAAAAAGAAGAAATACTTCATGAATAATTACTTCTCGCTCTTTCTAATTAAAAATAGTCGTTATTTTTATGTTTCAAATTTTACAAGTAAAACTCAGAATAATATTATGAAATTTCACCATGTATATATTCATTTTAGCAAAATAAAAGTTTGATGAGAAAACTTTATATTACTACTTAAAATTGTGTATATGTTAATCGACAATTTAATTGTCCCAAAAAATATATTTACATATTTTTTCTCATTAATCTAAAGTCTAAACACCTTCCAACTCAAGTAATAACAATTTTATTAGACCTAACTTGTTTGACTGATTTATCTATGATTCTTGCACATGCTTAAGTTCAGACTATGCAAATTAAAAATTTAACAACACAAAGAAGTAATTGTCATTTGAATATTAAATATGTATTCCATATATTGAATTTCAGACAACCTTAATTAGTTGTGATTAAGCACTAATATCCAACTCATCAGCTACCAGCTTTGGTCCAAATTTTTTTGGTTTCCACCCCGCGTAAGTTTTTTTGTTTTTTTCAAAAAAAATTGTTAGTAATGATTGCTTTTTGAGATTTGAAGTGTTTGGACAAGTAAGTGTTTCTCAAATAGTAGCAAATATCGTTTTTCAAAAGTTCGATTTTTTTTTTCTATAAATACTTTAGAATCTTGATCAAACACAACACAAATTGTTGTCTAATATTGCGAAAATGTTTTTTTAAATTGAATAGTCAAACAAAAATTGCTACCCTCCAAAAGTTTTTTTTTAATTAAAAACCACTTTTGATAAAACATATTTTTCAAAAAATTAACAAACTCTAGAAGTTTGGCCAAATTAATTACTATTTCCCAACGTTTTTCCTAGTAATGATAATTATTTTTCCTCGATACTAATCCAATATTATCATAACTATGAGATGCATGGATAGAAGCATTATGGTGATAAATCTATCTATTTTGAATTGGACTATCAACAATGTTTACTAATACAAAATTATGAAAAATCTAAGTGGTTAACAGTGTGGACTCATTTCTAATTTTCTTGTCTTAATTATATTGGCCAAAATTTAATTTGACTTTAGAGTCTAACTAGTAAAAACGCTGCTATGGATTGTGGTGGACAAATAAATTTCTTCCACTTTTAATTAGATATTTTGAATTTGAGTCCGAAAAATAGTAAAGAGTGTGTCATGATCCAAATTCATAACACATATATACTGTACAGTTTTATCTTTCTAGTTACACCACGATGAGTAACAAAATAAGCGTATGTAATTCGACTAAGATGTCATGTGCACCTCATCTTCAGAAACTTGCTAGCCTAGAAGTCTATCAGTCCTACTTGACCTGTTTTCATCAACTTGGTCTTTGTGAGGGGCATCATTCCTTTTTAATGAGTGTTACATGATACAAATCTAAATTAATCAAAATGTCAATTTAAATATGTAACACTGACAGAGAAAAAAATCGCTATCAAATTCTCTATTTATTTTGATTTTTGACTATAGTGGTGTGGAAAATAAAGATCATCTATTGAAAAATTTGGTACTTTCTCAACTACTACGATCCAACAGTGTGATGATAATAATAACTAATAAGTTAGTGTGTATGTATATTATTTCATAATTAATTATACAGAGAATCGGCCTAGCTTGAATAAATTCATAAGATTTTAGTTGAATTTGTTGGCTTCACAAAAAAAATAAAAAATATCTACAGTAATATACAAAATTCTGTAAATTGACAAGGGAATTTTATGTAGTGACCTCATTACATACATCATTACAATTTTTTTTCTTAACTGTTGAAATTTAACCTCACAGTATTTGAGAAATTATTCAAAAAAAAAAGGAATTAAAATGCTTGAGAAACAATTATATGTGTTGGACCTATTAAAAAATAATATTGAAGTTTAATTTTGTAAATAAAAATTGGGAACAATTTCGATGAAAATAGACCCTCTTTTTTTTTTTTTAATTTGATGCTAGTTTTTTTTAAAGTAACAATTTCATTACGTTTGATTTCAAAAACTTGATGGTCGCAAATTACTTTATTCTAAGTTGCTACATTAAACTCCAAATGGTGACAAAGGGCATATTCAAAAAGTGTTGCGTGAGATTTTACGTAAACTCAAATTCTATGTATAACGTTAATTATTTTTTAAATATTCATAAATATTTAAATGCGAAAACATTTATTATTACTAAACAACTTGAGATTGTTATAGGAACTAATAAACTTTCAATTCTGAATCTTGTTCGGCGTGGAACTAATTGTCCTTTTCTAACCTTTTTTTTTCTAGAAGACAAGTGTAATATTTTTCGAAATTTCTAACAAGTCAACAAATTCGATTCCATTTTCCTCATCACAATTGAACTTATACGACTTACTATAAGTCAAAATAACTCTAAAAGCTACTATCTGCTTATGTGTTTTTTTTATAAAAAAAAAATAGATTAAAAAAATGAATACTTATTAGATTGAAAATTAGTCAAATCTCCTCACCTAATAGTTGGTTAAACCTCCACGTGCATGAGTCAAATGGCATGTCCAAAAAAAAAAAGTTTAGCATAATAATTCATTATTATAATTTATATGATGCATTTATGCCCTATCTGTTGAAGAATTATAATACGTTCACTCATTTAACATAAAGTCAATGAGTAGGTAAATTTTCAAATTATTTATTAATTATATGGAGGAAATTGTCTAATAATACAAGTTAGAATATATTGATGTCTTGACAAAAAGTTGGTGCCTTGTAATGACAAAAAAATGTGGCAGCCACTAATGAACATTGGACACATTGAAAAATTTCTCTATTGTCCATCAAGATATAAAGTTAAAAGATGGAAAGAAATTATGTACTATAATTCTTTTTTATTTATGTATATGGATTTGAAGTTTGAACTTCTACCACAATGATTTTTAAAAATTACATTGATCCTTAGAATTTAGATAATATTTTTATTTCCGCTAAAATTTGAATTCTGATTGACTAGTCCATTTTAACTTATTGAATGTTAGAACATTGCGCCTTTGAGTGCACAAAAACATGGTTAAATATTGATTAGATTTGAAATTCTAACTTGATTTTAAATAGAAGACGTAAAAATAGTTATTTGTGATTTTGTCCCACATAATTCTCATTAAGACATGGAATTAAACCCAATAACTTCAAAAATGAATGACCTTGAACTTTTGGATCCCGATTACCCTATAATACAATCTTCAGAGTAAAAAATCAAATCTTGTTAAACTTGAAGTATTTCCTAAAACAAATGAGGTCAAAAGTTCAAAATTGTCAGCTCCAAGGCCATTCGTGTAAATCGCACTTTAAGACTTGTTGGCCCAAAATAGTATAAAGCCCAACCCACACATATTTAAAGCCCCATGGATATATATAGTCTTGACACATTTATGAGGTGTAATGTTATCAGTATGAGCCCGATTCCCGACATGAAATTCCACGTTGAAGTAAATTGATTCCTATCAAAGCCTTATTTTTAAAATTTAAATTCGAAATCTTTGATTAAAGATGAAATACTGCTCAATACAACCTTTGATGAAATTTGTTTTATACACTTTCATCTCGTTCTAATATACCAATTTCAAGTTTACAACTTTGAGATATTATTTGAATTAGGGGCGGACCCATCCTTACCCAAGGATGTCAACCGGCACTCCTTTGTCGGAAAATTACATTGTATATAGAGGTTAAATTTTAGTTTAATAAATATATATATAAGTATTGACACCTCTTCACACAAAATAAATTGTGTTTGACATTGCTATTGAAAAACACCTTAATTTTAAAGCATTAGTCTAATAATTAAGACATTGCAAAAATTTCTTGATGTCATGGGTACTAGTCCTACTAGCACTAGCCTCATAATTATATTAATTTTACTATAACCAACACCCCTTAATGACAATTCTGAAGCTGCTACTGATTTAAGTAACATGACTATTTTAAGTTAGTTGTCATATGTCTTATATAATTCAACATCTATAAGACAAACTTGTTTCTAATTATCTTTATGAATGTACGTGTTTGATAAAACAAAAGCCATTTAATGATAAGTGAAAATTATTTTCCGAGTTAGATTATTTTCATCTTCTTTATCTCCTTCAAGCTGAGCAATGAACAATTTTTTAGCAAGATCCCTTGAGGAAGACCTCCCATTATTCAATTTCTTAATCGTTGAAAAGGTAGTGACCACCAAGAAGGATGTTTACATAACAGCTAAAACAATTGTCTTTCATACTCCACCAAGTAATAAAAACACCACAAGACCATGAAAAGGAAAGAAAAAGAAAAACATAAAGAGTTGACATATTGGCCATGATATGGTTTTTTGAAATTACAACTATTTTTTTTTCTTTCTATGAGGTGTCCGATACTTGTATTGAAGCTTTACTATTTCAAATTAACATTGTGAAGGGTCCAGGAGGAAAATACAATTATATATCCTCATTAACAAATTAATATTTACAGACTTTTTTCAAATCAACTTGTGCATAATTTATCTATTTTATCAGATATTTTTTATCTTTCACTACTACAAATATCGATTAATTCTATCAATCACGTTATATATGGAAAGTAAAATAGAATATAAGGTTGGAGATGCACTAAGCAGGTTAAGTGACCAGCTATTTTAGTCTTAAGCAATTAAATGGACCATAGAGGTTATTATAGCCTATCTAAATAGCAATATTCTCTAATTTGAGCCTAGCTTGCACAATTTTTAAACGAGTCATTAGGTCAATGACTTATTTTCTTATATACTCTTTTCTTATCTCACTAAGACCCTAACAAGGGCGACTCCGTACCCAAAGAGGCTCGAACCCGAGATCTCTTGGTTAAGGATGAAGGAGTACTTAGCACTTCACCATAATCTTTGTTGACTTTCTTATATTTTATCACTATGAAAATTTACTTAAATATACACACAGTCACACACCTCCTTTTTAGAGACTCAATATTTTTATTGTTGTTTGTCCACCAATGTCTTAAAAATATGAGAGTTATCTAACGTTAGTTAAACACTAATGGTTTACTTTAGAATTGCACAAGGTTATATGTGAAATGAATCTAATGATATTATTCGCTTTAAATTTAGGTCCATACATCTTAAATCGTGTTAATAAGAATTAAGACCTGTTTTTTTATATTCCTAGCATTTTCTCTAATGTTTATTTCATAGATACAAAATTTACCTCACTATTTAAACGTGCTCTAATGTTAATTCAAAAATAAAAAAAATTGATTTCATATTCAATTATCTTATCAAAAGTATACTCACCAATAATAAAATACAGAATCCCAAGGGCCACAGCTGAGAGCCGACGTCGTTTTCACCAGTATTCATTTGCCTTTATTTTCCCGGCAACACAACAAAAAAAAAACAAACAAACTCATTTCATCCAAGTGAGAGGGAAAAATAAAATAAAAATTACTTAGACATTTTTTTTTTTAATTTTCACCAATAAACAACACCAAACGCTCTTTTTTCTTCCCTCAAATTAAATTATATAAAAAAATTCCTCCTAATTTCTTCCCTCTCTTCTCCAGAATCTTCTTCTACTACTACTACTACTACTACTACGGCTAGGGTTTTCATTTCTTCGTTGTAGCTCGCCGGTAGCGATTTGTCGGAGTACGGTGGTTGTTGGATCTGCCGATGGCGGAAGAGGAGGAGAGGAACGGCGGTGATCGGAGTGAGACAAGTGACTACACATCGGAGGATGAAGGTACTGAAGATTACAGGCGTGGAGGTTATCACGCTGTTCGAATGGGAGATACATTCAAACAAGGACGATATGTAGTGCAGAGTAAGCTTGGTTGGGGACATTTCTCCACTGTTTGGCTCGCTTGGGATACGCAAAAATCTGTGAGTATTTCTACACTATCTGCTTCGCATTCTTCATGATATCTATTACTCTGCGATAACTGTAGGATTTGCTTGTTTTGTTTAGCAACCTACTGTTTACTGTTAACAGATTTTGGATTTTGAATTTTTGTGATTTTGGTGTTTGAATTTTTCAATGTTTGCGTGTGAGAGAGGAGATACTTCGATATAGTAATTGTTGTCTGTTTGCAATTTCTATGTACTTTTATGCTGCAATTGTTGTATTATTTGTTGGTTTTGTTTAGCAACTTTTTGTTTACTAGCATAACAGTTTTTGCATCTTTGGAGTTGTCAGTTTGGTGTTTGATTTTTCCATGCTAGAGTGTGTGTGTGAGAGAGGATAAACTTTGATGTAGTACTTGTTATCTGTTCACAGTTTCAATATATTAATTATGATGCAATTGTTGTATTATTTGTTCGTTTTATTTAGCAACTTATGGTTTACTAATATAACAATTTTTGCATTTTTGGACTTGTGAGTTTGGTGTTTCAGTTTTTCTCTGTTTGCGTGCATGTGTATGAGAGAGGAGATACCTCGATATATTACTTGTTATCTGTTCTCATTTTTTATACAACTGTGATGCTACAGTTGTTGTACTAGTATTTATTGTTCGGTTTAGTAATTTATGGTTTATTTTAGCAACTTCCACATTTGTGAGTATTTTTTTTGAGATTGGTAACTGTTTCTTTTTCTTTAAATAAGTACATGTGTTGTACTGAAAATCATATTTACATAATGAACTCTAAAAGCATTGTTCTATCCCTATAATGAGTCTAAAACATCAATGATTGAGACACTGTTATTAGAGTAGATCTAATGACACCAAAAACACAAAGTTAGAATATAATTTAGTTTTACTTGCTGCATATTACTCTGCCTGTTCTCAAAAACTCTAAGATTTATCTCTTTTCAGATAGTCCACCAAATTGTAGCAGAAATGATTCTCCAATTGCTTCTGTTCTTTGCTTGTAATCCTGCATCTTCCCAACTGTATAAGGCCTCTGCAATTCTACCAAGCATGACCCATGAGATGTTTTTGAGCCTTAGGAATAGACTCCACAATTGGCCTGCACTGGATGAACAAGTGATTGACTGTTTCTGCAGTTTCCCCACGGAAAAAACATCTAGAGCATAGTGTAATCCCCCTCTTCATCAAATTCTCCTGTGTCAACACAACATCCTTAGCCAGTAACCACACAAAACAACCACTTTGTGTGGGGATCTTGGCCTTCCAAATGTGTTTTCAGACCATTTGGGTACCTGCACAATTGGGTGGTTCAACTTCCTATCTGCTGCACTTACTTTAAAGTCCTTTTACAGTTCCCTAACCACTGCAATCTGTCCTGCCCCGTCTCCAAGCCACTAAATTATTCAATGACGCTGAAGAATTATGTAACTCTTGGAATTTCCCAATCATTGAGGTGCCTTCTAAATATAATATTTCACCCATGAGGCGTCCATAGTTCAAATATTGTACTTTGCAGTTGAAGAACCAGAGTGTATATATCTGGGAGAAGTGTCTCTAGATTTCCTGCTTCATGCCAATCCTCCTTCCGGAATCTAGTTTTAGCGCCATCTACCACTTTAATCTTGGTGTTTGGTTTGAATTCATCCCATAGTGATTGGATGGATTTCCATAAACTAACACCATCGGGAGTGGTAACTTTCTTTGTCACCCATTTGTCACTTTCTTCATATTTTGCTTTTATGACTGAGTCCCATAAATTTTGATTATCGTTGGAATACCTCCAAAGCCACTTCATTCTCAAAGCATTGCTTTGATTCTTTAGGTTCTTCATTCCTACACCCCATTGTTTTGGACGTCAAAAGGCGACAAGGGTCTGCCTCGCCACGGCGCTCGCCTTTTTTAATTAAGGCGCCAATTAATACTAAAAATTTAAAATTTTAATTGCATATATAAATATCCAAAATCTTAATAGCAATAACATATAGTAGCAAATATTTCAAATAAAAAACTAATAGTAGATACTAAAAGTCTAGAATTTGAATGACTCAATAATTCATAAGACAATTGACAAGCAATAATAGAACTCTAAAAGTCTATTCTTCTTCAAGATTATCCAAATCTTGAAAATCAACATCCTCTTGATCATGATTATATTGCTCCTCATCTTCTTGCTCCTCAGATTCTTCATCAATTAGTGTCCTAGTCCTACTTGAACTTGTAGATGTAGATGTAGTTTGCACTTGTCAAGTGCTCTTGATATGCAGAATTTAATGCATTGTCTCCATTTAAGATCAAAATCCATCTTCTCTAGCATACTTGTAAGAAAATCCAAGTTGACATGGTCATATGTTTTCTCAATATCTAATTTGCATAAAATGCCTGGTTTTTTCAAACTTGACCGGGAATCTATAGCTTCATTAGCTATTAGAACAAGATCCATGATCTGCCTACCCTTAATAAAAGCTAACTGTTATGAGTTAACAAGTTTGGACATCACCCTTTATAGCCTTTCAGTGAGCACTTCTGAGAGAATTTCATAGATGTTGCCTGTCAAACTGATAGGTCTAAAGTTTCTTAGTTCTTCAGCACCTTTTTCTTTGGAATCAGGGCTATGGAGGTAGCATTGAAACTTCTTTCAAACCTCCTTTGGTCATAGAAATGCTGACAAGTCTTCATGATATCACTCTTGACCACTTCCCAACATTTGATGTAGGACCCCAATGTAAAGCCATCTGGTCTTGGTGCTTTATCCACTGCACATTGCTTTAAACTTCTCGAAACCTCCTCCTCATCAAAATTTCTTTCTAGGTCATCCATTATCCCTCCTCTTGTCCCACTTGCCTCCAAACATGCCATTTTGACCCATCTATCCCCCCAAATCTGCCTTACCAACTCAGTGATATCCTCCTGTAATTTGGTTTATTGTAGACAAATGATGTCAGCTTACCAGTCCCCCATAATGTTCTTCGATTACCCTCCTCTTTCCAGCCCCCCTGTGAGTATTTATAAACTTACCTGTTCACATTTTTGATATACTTATTATGCTGCAATTACTGTAGTATTTGCTTGTTTTATTTAGCAACTGATAGTTTACTGTAACAATTTTTGCATCTTGGACTTGTGATTTTTGTGATTTTGTTTCTTCTGTTTGTGTGTGTGTGAGAGAGAGAGGAAATACTTCGATAACTTGCTATCTGTTCGACATAGATGTGATGCTGCAGTTGTTGTACTAGTATTTATTGTTAGGTTTAACAATTTATGGTTTAAGTTAGCAACTTCCGCATAACATTACCAGTTTCAAAAAAAAAAGTTAGCAACTTCCGCATCTGTGAGTATTTCTAAACTATCTGTTCGCGTTTTGTATATATACTTAATATGCTGCAGTTGTTCTAGTGTTTGTTCGTTTTATTTAGCAAAGTATTGTTTACTAGTATAATGATTTTTTTGGTATATGGACTTGTGTATGTAGTGTTTGAGTTTTTCTCTTCTTGTGTGTGTGAGAGAGAGGAGATACTTCGATATAGTACTTGTTATCTGTTTGCATTTCCTACGTATTTATTATGCTGCATTTGTTCTTTTTATTTTGCAACATATTGTTTACTAGTATAATAGTATTTTTGTATATGGACTTGCGTATATAGTGTTTTGAGTTTTTCTCTGTCCACGTGTGTGAGAGAGGTGATACTTCGATATAGTACTTGTTGTCTGTTTGCATTTTCTATATACTTATTATGCTGCATTTGTTCATTTTATTTAGTAACCTAATGGTTACTAGTATATCAATCTTTTTTGTATATGGACTTGTGTATGTAGTGTTTGAGTTTTTCTCTGTCTGCGAGTGTGTGTGAGAGAGAGGAGATACTTGATATAGTACTTATTATCTGTTCATATATTCTATATACTTATTATGCTGCATTTGTTCTAGTATTATTGTTTTATTTAGCAATGAATTGTTTACTAGTATAACAATTTTTTGTATATAGACTTATGTATGTAGTGTTTGAGTTTCCTCTGTCTGCGTGTGTGTGATAGAGGATATACTTTGATTCAGTACTTGTTATCTGTTCTTATTTTTGACGGAGATATGATGCTACAGTTATTCTAGTGGTTATTGTTTGGTGTGGCAACTTATGGTTTATTATAGCAATTATTGTAGTGTTTATGGTTCTTATGAGTTCTCTGCGATTTTTGCAAAAATTTCTTTGAAATGTGGATTGTCTTAGCTAATTGTTGGTTATGTCTTGTGAGGAATAGAGGTATGTTGCTCTAAAAGTTCAAAAGAGTGCTCAGCATTATACAGAAGCGGCTATGGATGAGATTACCATATTAAAGCAGATTGCAGAGGGAGATCCAGATGATGAGAAGTGTGTGGTGAAGCTATTGGATCACTTTAAGCATTCCGGGCCCAATGGCCAGCATGTTTGTATGGTATTCGAGTACTTGGGAGATAATCTTTTGACTCTAATTAAGTACTCAGACTATCGAGGGCTATCAATTCACAAGGTTAAAGAAATTTGCTTCCATATCTTAGTGGGTTTGGATTATTTACATCGTCAGCTTTCTATTATTCACACAGACTTGAAGCCAGAAAATATTTTGCTTTTATCAATGATTGATCAAAGTAAAGATCCAACAAAGTCAGACGCTCCCCTTATTCTTCCTACGAGTAAAAGTAAAATTCTCTCTGAATCTGGGGCTTCCAAGGAAGTAAAGGTTTATAATGGTGACCTGACTAAGAACCAGAAAAAGAAAATTCGGAAAAAGGCTAAGCGAGCAGCTCAAAGATATACAGACAAGGAAGCTTCTGAGGAAACTGAACAAGATAATGAAGCCAGTAGTCCTGAAAGGTCTAATTCTGATGAGAAACCTAATAAAGACTCAGTTGAAGGAAAGACTAATACTAAAGCAAGTGAAAATGGCTCAACAACAGACGGAGCAAGGGATGGACAGCAGAGAACTCAAAGACCTAAAAGAGGCAGTCGATCCATGAGGCAGAAACTATTGACTGATGTGGACCTTACGTGCAAATTAGTTGACTTCGGCAATGCATGCTGGACGTATAAACAGTTCACAAGTGATATCCAGACAAGACAGTATAGATGTCCTGAGGTTATCCTAGGATCTAAATATTCTACTTCAGCTGATCTTTGGTCCTTTGCTTGCATTTGCTTTGAGCTTGCCACTGGTGATGTTCTTTTTGATCCACACAGTGGTGACAACTATGACAGGGACGAGGTATAGCAACTCTACTTTCAATAGTTTAACCACTTAGATGCAAGCATGTGTAGATCTTTATTTTAGAAGTTAAATTATTATTTGATTTCATTATTTTCTTAATTAATGAATTAAGTTCAAGGAAAGGAATCGTATTGACAAGATGTATGTTCCGTATTGACAAGATATATGTTCCGTTCTGCATTTGGGTTTTGTAGACTTGATGTGTACATGTGACCTATTTTTGGGTGCTCACCTGCTCATTCTTCTAAAACATTGATTTAAAAACAATACCTCTTCAATGGGATATAACTTCAGCTGTGGTAAAGGGGAGGGTCTTTATCCCTGATGATGACTGGTACCACGGGAAGGGAAGTAAAGACACAATGACTTGATTTTATCTGCCAACTTGTGTGGTGTCACAATCAATCAGCTAATCAATCCAGTGTTGCCAAGGCAAACTGGAAGTGCATGTAAGCCTTAAAGTGAGGCTCAACATAGACTTGGTGCTTCAGTGTCTTAGGCGGAGTGCTCTTGCGAAACTGCTAAGAGGATGAGGTGTAGATCTTTCCAAAAACATAGCAACCAGCTATTTTCAAATTAGATTATTTTACAAGGTCATCTTGAGAAAAAGCAATAGTGAACAACACACAGAGTTGCAAAATGATATATTAATTGTTAATTATACTTTTTGGATATATATATTGCTTATTAGGTATTAGGATATTAGAAATTTACAAAAGAAAGCTAGACATTTGATTTGAATTAGAAACTTAGTTGCAACTTTGCAGATGATACAGAAATTTAATATGGTATTTGAACAGTACTGATGTAGTTTTACTTCATTGCAGTTAGTCAATTCATCTAGCCATATAATTCTTGTTTTCGTGTGTAAGCATATTTCTTTCTATTTAAACCTCATATTTTAATTATGCTTGCACTTAAAATGCATTTGTGTCTTTTGCGCTTTACACCTTTGACAATACTGAATCAGACAATTATTAAGTCTCAGTCCCAAACCAGTTGGATCAGCAATATTACCTTTTTTTGGTTTGTGCAATTTGTAAATAGCTTGGGATTGGTATTGCTCTATTGTAAATAGGTGTCTTTCAAAGCCTTTACCCCCCAAAAAGAGAATGTTTGTCTTTTGTGTCTAAGAAGGGGTTCTCTATCTTATCCCTACTCAGACCTAAAGTAAGAGTAACAACAAAAAAAACTTATCCAACAGTTGGGCACTGTCTATGTGGATCATTTGCTTCTATCCTGTTCGACTCTTAGCTATGTTTAAGTTGATACCTAGAAAGTATGAATCTTTTGGGACTACTTTTTTCTATGTTATTCTTAGTCTATCTCATCCGATTGTAGCTCCTTCAATTACCATAGTGTTGCACCTATGAGTTGGTGCATTTGGAGATATAGGTAGGATATGATGAAACTATCTTGTGTGATTTCCCTAGTTTTATACTTTGTGTGTGCTACTTCTAGCTTGTATTCAATATTGTAGATGTCATATCAGTTTTAACATTCAACATTTCTATGACACTCATCTTGGGAACTGTTAGAACATGAATAGGTCTATACAATCTTATTAGAATAGGAATAGGATTACACAACCCTATTAGAATATGAATAGGTTCATACAATCCTATTTAGAATAGGAATAGGAATACAAATAGGAATAGGAATAGTAAATAGTATCCTACTTGGTAAATGATTGTATTCTAGTGTCTATAAATAGGGTCTCAATGTAATAATGTAAACAACAACTCTAATATTCTTCTCTATTTTTCACATGGTATTAGAGCCTCTACAATCTTGGTAAACAATCAAAGAGCTTCCGCTGGCGGCTATTATCCATATATGCCGCTCGTCCGGCCAATGATTATGTTAGCAAACGTTGGGTCACTGTGTATCTTTCTGGTGACTATTTTCTCATATCTAATTTGTGTAGCACCGTGCCATCATTCCAGTGACTACTTTCTTATATCTAATTTGTGTAGCACCGTGCCATCATTCCGATGACTACTTTTTCATATTTAATTTGTGTAGCACCGTGCCATCATTTTGGTGACTACTTTTTCATATATAATTTGTATAGCACCGTGCCAACCTTTCGGTGACTACCTTTTTTTGCATATCTGATGTGCGTAGCATCGTGCATCTCTCCGGACTACTTTTCATAATTAATTTGTGTAGTACCGTGAATTTTTCCGAACTATTTTCTCATATCTGAGTTGCATAGCATCATGTGTCTTTTCAGTGACTCCTCAGATTTGATTTGCATAGTTCCATTTGTCTTTCCGGTGACTCCTCAAATTTGATTTGCGTAGGGTTGTGCCATCATTCCAACCCCACCCGTATAATTTTACTTTTTTAGTAGGGTCGTGCCATCATTCCGACCTTACCCATATTATTTCTCTTTTTCAATGGGGTTGTTCCATCAATTCAAACTATCCTATATAATTTCTATTTTCTAGTTAAGTCGTGACATCATTCCGACCCTATCCATATAATTTTATTTCTTAGATTGTGACCACTTTTAGCCATCAAATCTAATACTCCGGCATATGAGCATGTTTCGGCCAGTTTTTTGGTGACTTTTAATATCAACTCATCTATTGATCCAAACATGATCCATATACTTTATACTAGATTTTGAGTACTTTGTTGCTCAGGGGGAGTTTAGTAGCCTTGTATATCGATTATGTGAGTCACTCTATGGTTTGAAACAATCTTTGTAAGTTCGGTTTGGAAATTTCAACACTATAATTTTAGTAATTTTATCACTCTGTGCTTATCGGCATTATGCATCAAATTCAGTATTTTATGATAAGATTAAGCACATTGAGATTGACTGGCATTATGCATCAAATCCAGTATTTAATGAGAAGACAAGCACATTGAAATTGACTGTCAATTTTGTGAAGTCGACTGATCAACTTGCAGATATCTCACCAAGCCACTCATTGGTCCTCGTATTGATTACATATGTAAACAAGCTAGGTACATGAATTGTATGCACTAGCTTGAGGGGGAGTGTTAGAACATGAATAGGTTTATACAATCCTATTAGAATAGGAATAGGATTACACAACCCTATTAGAATAGGAATAGGTTCATACATTCCTATTTAGAATAGGAATAGGAATAGGAAATAGTATCCTACTTGGTAAATGATTGTATTCTAGGGTTTATAAATAGGGTCTCAATGTAATAATGTAAACAACAACTCAATAATATTCTTCTCCTCTATTTCTCACAGGAAATTCATGCTCCTCCATCTTTACTTACATTTCTCTTTAACCAAAATGTTGTAAATGTCCTCAACTTTAAATAATAACTAACAGAATAACCTTTACCTTCTCTTATGCACCCACCTTGCTAATTGTCCTTTTCACTCCAACAAATATTGTTGCAGTAGATAGTGTAGAAGGATCTTTCTATGGTGACTAAATTATTAGCTTGTTGTGCAGTAAGAATTTGGGAACATGAAACCTAAAATGGAGAAATTCGGAATGCATTCGTAGTTTCAATTGGTTACTTTAGTACTCTCCTATTAATATTATGCTTCCTAGATGTCATTATTGTATATTATTGACTATCATATTTCTGAGGCTTGCCTGAATAGATTGTTGGAACTTGGAAGTACAAGCTAAGCTATTAGTCTTCTAGGATCTTTTAATTGATTATTTAGTTGAGTTTTGTGGATGGTGAAGCAGTCACTTTCTTAGTGAATCACAGTATTCTTTCATCTGTTTTAGATTAATGCCAACATTTACATGTCACTCTCATGCATTGAGTCTTGTAACTGACATTCACATGATTACATGTAAGTTGGTACAAGACCAGCTCATTTTTAGTTTTTGGTTGTTTTTGTTCATTGAGATATTTTAAATAATTTTGTAGTTTAATGCCGTCAATTGCTGGTTCAGTTCAATGATATTTTCTTTGTTCCCCTTTCTGCACAGGATCACTTGGCCCTTATGATGGAGCTTCTTGGAATGATGCCACGCAAGGTGATTTTTGATTTCTGGTTAATATCTTTCTTGTTGAATGAAAAAAAGGAAAAGAAAAGTAGGAGAGCGAATCTTGTCATTCAAAAATGCAGAAGTGATCTTAAGTTTATATGCAGATTGCCTTAGGTGGGCGTTATTCGCGAGAGCTCTTCAACCGAAGTGGAGACTTGAGACATATCAGACGATTGCGGTTCTGGCCTATGAATAAAGTGCTTAGGGAAAAGTATGAGTTCAGTGAACAAGATGCTCATGACCTGGCTGACTTCCTTGTTCCAATACTTGATTTTGTGCCTGAGAAAAGACCTACTGCAGCTCAATGTCTCAGTCATCCGTGGATCACTGGACGCCCTCGGGATCTTTCTCCTTCTAAAACTAATTCTACATTCCAAGCAACGGAAAAAGGTGGCTCAGAGGAGAAGAGGGAGAAAGATGAGAGGGAGGCAATGGAAGCTGGAGTAGGCAACATTGTGATTGATGGAACCGCAAAGCCAGTCAAAGTTTCTCAATCCGTAAACCTAGCAAAACAGAGTTGATTGATTCAGGTTGTGGTCTTTTTTCCCCATCTTGATCTAACCATTATTTGACGCTTATGACAAGTTAGACCATGGGGTACTTCTGGTTCCCTGTATACCTTTTTCGTTTGCCTCTTCATTCTTTCGAGATAATCACTGTTGTATCGTTGTTGAAGCATTATAAGATTTTGAGTACAACCTGTATCAGTGAGTATCACAGTATTCTTTGCGGAAGTTGGATATCCTGTCCTTTCTTTTTGCCTTATTGACGATGTTTTGTATCTTTCATTGCTTGTATTGTAGAAAGTTGGCCGTGTGTTTCTGTTGATTTGTGCACATACGATGTTAGTGGGCAGATTTTCTGGTTGATACAGCTGATGGTCTTTTTTCAGGTGAAAGCAGGGCTGTTACAATTCAAAAACAAGTGCGGTAACTACCAGCAGAATTATCTCGTTGCTTATGAGTTGTTCGGCTAACTGGTTGTGCAGTAGCAAGAATTCTTCTTGCTGATTGAAATTTCCTGTTACATTCCATTGCCGCATATTTCTGTTATATAAATTGTTAGTGCCCTGCATGATCATATTTCGGGAGAACAAGACGAGAATTACAGACCACGTATATAACATAAAGATAAAATCCAAAGGGGTTATAAAATCAAATATCAATACATAAGTTGGTTATTGTCCACACTTGGCTAAGAAAGAAGATGTGATAATTCAAATAATTATGGAAACTCTTCTCAAAGGGTACCCCTGTTCAACTTACTCACCACAAGCATATACTGTGTTTACAAAAGTACAATCAACAACAACATACACAGTAAAATCTCACAAGTGAAAAGAAAAGGGTGGTTTACACAACCTTGAACTAAGGTAGAGATTCTATTTCTTATAGATTCTCAGCTCAAGTAAAAGTTTTTATGGACTCAATACCTTCTACGTCTGAATGTCTTGGTAACTTATAGTGGGAGATGATGCTACACTACATAACAAGCTGGTAAAAGAGAGTGATGGCTACTCCTAATTGGCACCCATGGTATATAACTTGAGGAAGATTTGACTGTCACCTTCTCTCTCAAATCCTACAGATCTTGAAACTGGGGACATATTCCATACCTAATTTTGTTGTTTTCGCCATTATATTGGCAGTGTCTGCGAAGCATCATATTGATGCACAATGATCTCTACGTACCCAGACATATGCTAGTATCCAGCATTGTTTTGGGCACCTACTGCAGTCGTGAATCTTGGTCAAGATTTAAATCACCTGCACATAAAACAAACAATTCCAAACTCAGGTAGGTTAAGCTACCAGCTGAGGTGAATCTAGAGTATGACATATGGGTTCAGTTGAATCCAACAACTTTTGCTCAGATATATGTAAATCAACTACATAAATATTTGACTGTGAATTCAGTTATTATTGTATATTAAACTCAAGGTCACTATATGAACACATAAATTTCAAATTATGGGTTTTGCCTCTGGCTGCCGGTCGTGTTTAACTAGGTTTGCTCAACTGGTGATATAGATGGAAGTCTTTTGACATGTAAGTTATGCCCACTGGCAGACCTACTTATCAATCACTGTTTTATCCCACATTCCTAATTCTACTAGAATATCCAGAGTTCTAGCCAATTTTAGTTCATCACCCTTTATCCATATTTCCACCTACAAGTACTTGCGAGTCCAAGAACATCATTATTTCATGTGCACTGCAAGGAGGAGAGTCAGTACTACTTCTTTGTCTCAATTTATATGACATACTTTCCTTCTTAGTTCGTTCTAAAAAAATGTCACAATTCTATAACTAGAAATACCATACTTTAGAATTTCCTTAATTTATATCCACACAAATGGTCAATGAATTTTTGTTTTAGACCACAAATTTCAAAGGTTTTTCCTTTTTCTCTTAAAGTCAAACAACGTCACATAAATTAGGACAGTGGGATTACTAATTACTTGAGAGGAGGCACTATACCTGATTGCGGAATCAGCAGTTGCTTACAGTATTTTCCTCGTTCTGAGATACCAGTACATGAGATAAAAGGCCAGAACAGCCCCAACAATTATTCCTGCTGTTGTAAGCCAGAATGCAAACTGCATTTAATTAGACAAATATATGATGAGAAGACAAAATTCTGGAAATATTTTCCCAAAATGAGGAGATATAGATAACGGGCTCTCGAGATCTAAGAAACATACCACATGTTCCTCTAGATAGGATCTTAAGTTCATGCCAAATATACCTGTACAAAAGCCAAAGTAGGTGTGTTATAACATGTCGTATTAGTATACATGCGTATCAATTTGCATATTTGAATATTATCCTTTTATGCAGATGAACTATTTGCAGCACTATAGAAGAAGAAAACCATCTTTTGTATTTTATAATTCAATTGCAACCCATTCTCTACTTTCAGGCTCTCCAAAGATTTGTACTAAATAAGGTTCTAGATTGTCAAGATGAGACGCTAAGAAATAAGATGAATGTTGGATGTGTGGTCATACAAAATCAGATTAAAAATGACAATATTTGCCGAAAGATGCATGCATCAAGTGGTGCCAAAAGTTTTATGAGAGTTTAGAATTTCTACATCATTAATTAGGCTTTATTTGGAAGCATTTAATACAAATCCACATAAGAGAGTATGCATGAAAAATTTTAAAAACTAAACATGACCAGGTATTGATAACCACAAAAGTAATAAATATTATACGAGCACGCATTTAGGATAAAATGAGAGAAGGTCTGATCATGTCCTACATCAACCTACAGATGCACCGATTTGTAGGTGTGAAACTAAGGTTATAGATTTTGCCTCAGGAAAAGAACAAACCATGAGTGGTATTTAACCTCAAGAAATAGTGATGGGATAAATTTTTTTTATCTTGTTTGGTTGCCATGTTTGGGATAACTTATCCCACTATTTATATCACAGTGATGGGATAAGTTATCCCATATACATGGTGGGATAAGTTATCCAAGAATAGCTAACCCCAGGATAACTTATCTGGGATAACTTGTTTCCAACCAAACGACCCCTAAGCAGGAGTAGAAAAACTTGAAAGGGATGAGACCTGATTACTCAGATAGCAATAACTGACAACCTCGTAGGCTTATAATTTTTTTTAAGACACCAAACAAACCTTAGGTCAAAACAATGACTGATCTGTGAGACTTGGACTACGAAGTTGAAAACCTATCAACTTCATTTGCTACAGAAGTAGCTCATTTATGAACACCGAACTGTTGTAGTGCATGATAAAGTCCAACTATATCTTATCTGGGACCAAAAACTGTGCATTTGGGGTGTGTTCGGTATGGAGGAAAATATTTTTCCAATTTTCTCATGTTCACTTGGTCAAAATATTTGGACATCCAAAAACATTTTCCTTCCTACGGAACATACCTTAAGGTACATTCCTAGATTTCAGAAAAAAGAATCTGAAAACAATACCATTAAATTGTATAACTACATATAATTACGCATTAAAGTAAGCCATCAAGGGCACATGTATGATCTAAAAATAACCCTCCACCTCCATGCAGACTGAATCTAAGAAGTGTTAGAGAGCCATATATTTACAGATCCTATCAGTTGAAAAAAGTGAACTCTAAGCGAACTCAATAGTAGGGCTATATCCATTGCATCTAAACAAAAGCTGAATTAGTAATCATAATTCATAGGTGAGTGGTGGACAGAAGTAATTCTCATAAAAGTAATACATATGTGCCACTTAAGCCCCGTGAATTCTACTAGCACTATGTATATCTAAGTTGGATATACATTTGTATCACAAAAAACGTCTTAGCAGACAAAACTAAGGGGAAACAACTGATTCTCACGAGGAGATATCAAAGAAGAAAATACTGGATATGTTTAACTTGTTTTTCTGTTTATATTAGTTGGATAAATACCTGCAACCAGAGCACCAACAGCAACACAAAATGTTCCAACCTGTAGAATCAACTCGAATCTGCTCACCTCAAGCCTTCGAGAACTGAAAAGGACAAGCAAAAAATTTACATTAAAATCAAGTCTGCTCACTTAAATGTTTTCATAACTAAGAATCAGTAGACCACAGAAGCCAAAACACGACCAAATCAAGCGCACATTCACCAATTGAAAAATCTGATAATCTTGTTTCAGTTGCAAGCTTTTAACTGATCTGTCAATCACCAGCGACAACCTAAGTAGATATTTCATTGATTTCTTGTATGAATTTATGTACAGAAATCTTAGAAGTTTTAGCTAAAGAACCATGCTTTGCTACAGTAGAAGCGTGTCTAAATATTGTTTAGTCAAGGGACAACACAACTTATCACACCAAAACTTAGAGAAAAAGGTTATCAAACGTACAGCATGGAGTTTACGGTTACATGCTTTCATCTACTTATCTCTTACTCTGTTCTTTAAATATTTTTTCATTCTTTTGTGGGATTATCAGTTTCTCACACAGTTATTCTTCTTATCAAGACAAAGTACACGTTCACCATTGAAATTTCAGTACAATTTCTCATTTGTGAAGTCATTTATAGAAGTTTTTAATGCTCTATTATTTCATTTGGTTGATTTCTCATTCTCACAACTGAACAAACGGCTCACTGATCAAGAACACTAGCAGAATCTGTTAGCAGTCCCCATCAATACTTCTGTCTGACACTAAATTTATCTGCAGAATGAAACCAGCTTATAACGTGTCTTCCAATATGTTTCTAAAAGCATGAGAACTGTTTCAGGAAGTTCAGGGGATGAAATTAAATAGAAGAGTTCTTCAAATGAACGAGAGCAACTTTGACCAATTTTCCCTACATATGCACTGTTATCGCTTTTCAACTTTACATCACCCAGTTCACCAACACAAGGATAAAGAGTTAAGAAGAAAAGTAATAAGACATGTACAAACCTCAAGTTTACAGCAATTGAGTCTTCCATTTCTTTTGCAGAATCAAGGAGCCTTTCAGCTTGACCATGGCAAGATTCACATCTGCAGTTGGATGAACAAATGGAAACCTGTTTCAGTAACTTACCAGACTTATTTGGTACAGATAAATCAGGAAAGGACGGCTCAAGATTTTCTATATGATCATAGAAAATTGCTTTATAATGGACCAAAAATTTGATTATTTACTTTTAAATTTTTGATTGTTTGAACCACTATGCTCTAACTATCATATTGCCATGAATATAAAATTCAAAATATAGGAAGTGTGAATGGTATGTATAAGAAAAAAGTGGATTGCTTAAAGATTACCTTCAATGCACTTCAAGGATATCTTATGCAGGAATTTCTCTCCAGATTCTATCTATCACTATTCACTGTCGTCTCTTGTACTGCGGTTATCATACTATTTTGTTGTAGTTACTGTTCTTTTTTCAGAATGCTTTCCTATGATTCTTCACTTTCGTTATTTCTGTTTTCGATCTTCTTTGATATGCTTTTCCTTGAGGCGAGGGTCTATAGGAAACAATCTCTCTACCTCCCAAGATAGGGGTAAGGTTTGCGTACACTCTACCCTCCTCAAACCCTATTTGTGAATTGTGAGACTATACTGGATATGTTGGTGGTGTATTCTATTATAAGAATATAATCATAGCTCCTACTCAGTTATACACTTGCATAATCAACCAAGTCACAGAGTTGACTACTTTGTGTCCAATAAGGACCAACTTATCTTATTTTCCAACTTCAGTTTCCCTTTTCTTTTCTTTTTTACATTTGTAGATATTTATCTTTTGGTCTGTCCTAGTTTATGGAGTTTAAGTAAGTTGATTTTGACATATTTATTGTGAAAAATATAGAAAAAGAATATTATTGAATTGTTGTTTCTACACTATTACAGAGAGGCCCTATTTATAGACACTACAATAGACACATTTTCCAACTAGGACACTACAATACATTCCTTTTCTAAGTAAGACACTGTATACTATTCCTATTACTATTCTAAGTAGGATTGTATATACCTATTTTTTTTTTTTTTTTCTTTTTGATGACAAGGGAAACCCGCAGTCACTACCCTTTTGGGTGCGCACAGGGGAAAACCCCCGCTCCTATGCAATAGCTCGCAAACTACATAGGAGAGGTAACCCGCACTAGGCAAGCCCGGTGCGACGAGCTCGACCCAGAAGGCAAACCCCTTGCTTTAGCTGGCAAGGGATTTTGAACTTGAGACCTCCAACATGGAAGTCCCAAGCCCAAACCACTGGGCCACCCCGAAGGGTCAGGATTGTATATACCTATTACTATTCTAACATTTATAATATTATGATAGTGAAGAAAATATTAGTGCAGTGGTTAAAAAGTTAGTTATGCACTCAAGAGAGAAAGGGTTTTAGAATAATTAGAAGTAAGGCAAAAGATATGCACTTCAGGTTTAGCTCCCATAGGAAAAATGAGTTGAAGTGGAACTAATGGGATTGTAGTGCCTATATGCAAACAATCAAGATACCTAGGTTCAGTGTGCAGGACAAAAGCATAATAGGTAAAGCTGTAACACATGATTAAACTAGAATGATCAAACTGAAGGTGCCACGATATTGGCATATGCAATTATAAGATGCCTACCAAAGTAAAAGTGAGTTCTATAAAACAATATGAGACTAACAAAGTTATATGGAGTTGAGTGGCAAGTCAGTAAAGCCCAACATATCAACAAGATGAGGTTATATAGAAGAGGATGTCAGGATGGGAACAAGATTATAAGTGATCACCTTCAAGGAGAACTGAAGGAGAGTCGTTAAGTTGTTTCCATGTGTTTGAGCTGTGGAAACAGCCTCTTCTAGAAATGTAGTGTAAGACTGCATACAATAGACCTTTAAGGGTCCGGCCTTACCTGGACCCTGCAAGGAGTGGGAGGGTAGTGCACCGGGCTGCCCTTTACATTCGATGAAAAGTACAAGTAGTAAACACGGAGGATAAATTGGGAGGTTGCCAAGGATGATTTGTCCATGTCCTACATAGACCTTCAAATACACCAGTTTGTAGGGTGTGAAAACATGTAGACCTAAAATCACAGGGAGAGACGTTGACCTAAAAGACCTACACCCTCACGACTGACGGAAACTATAGCAAAGAATAAGACACCCAACCAGTGCAAGTCGCTTGATTATGTTATTGCAGAATAAATACATAAACTAAGTATGCAGCAATTAATGAGGTACACTATCTACACTAACAGGGTTGAAATAGCACCAATAGACAACCTCTGAAGATAATTTTCCAAAAGCATTTCAATTTCTTCTTCTTCTTCTGCCAAATAGAAAGACAAATAAGCAAGGGTAAGAAGCATAACTGATCTGGTATCTGTTGTATGCCATATGCAAGAGTGTGTATGGGAATATTATAAGCACACCTTCAACAATCTCCTTATCTAGGGGCACGGAGCACTCTATTTCATCGTTTTCTTTCTTAAGTACACAATTTCTCCCGATTATACAGATGTGACGTATTTCATGAGTATCCTCTAGAATATCAAGTAGCATTTGCTTAAGAGCCCCTGCCCTGGAACCCAATTCCACCTGTCACAAGCAAGAGAAGGAAAGTCGTAATAGAATGTACCAAAATTAGTATTATAAGGTACAACTGAATGGTAATTGTACCAGTTTCTGTTTACTGATACGAAGTTCCTCCAATATGTCTGCAGTTAATCGGTTAGGCAAAACCTCAAGTAGTGCTTGGACCTGCACCAAGTGAGGCAGTGTATTTCTAAGTTGAAAGTAACTGTTAGAATAGGAATAGGTTTATACAATCCTATTAAAATAGGAATATGTTTATACAATTCTATTGGAATAGGAATAGGTTTATACAATCCTATTAGAATAGGAATAGTAATAGAAATAGAAATAGGAATACTAAATAGTATCCTACTTGGGAAAGGATTGTATTCTAGGGTCTATAAATAGGGTCTCAATGTAATAATGTTAACAACACAATTCAATAATATTTTTCCCATATATTTCTCACATGGTATCAGAGCCTCTACGAACTTGGTAGAGAATTAAAGAGCTTCCGCTGCCGGCGGGTGGCACCCATATATGTTGCCCGTCTGGCCAATGATTATGTTAGCAAAAGTTGGGTCATCATGCATCATTCTAGTGACTTCTTTCTTATATCTAATTTGTGTAGCACCGTGCCATTATTCCGGTGACTGCTTTTTCATATTTAATTTGTGTAGCACCGTGCCATCATTCTGGTGACTACTTTTTCATATCTAGTTTCTGTAGCACTGTGCCATCATTCCAGTGACTCCTTTTTCATATATAATTTGTGTAGCATCGTGCCATCCTTCCGGTGACTACCTTTTTTTGCATATCTGATTTGCGTAGCACCGTGCATCTCTCCGGACTACTTTTCATATTTAATTTGTGTAGTACCGTGGATTTTTCCGAACTATTTCTCATATCTGAGTAGCATAGCATCATGTGTCTTTTCAGTGACTCCTCAGATTTGATTTGCATAGTTCCATTCGTCTTTCCGGTGACTCCTTAAATCTGATTTGCATAGGGTTGTGCCATCATTCCAACCCTACCCGTATAATTTTTTCTTTTTCAGTAAGGTCATGCCGTCATTCCGACCCTACCCATATTATTTTTCTTTTTCAGCAGGGTCGTACCATCATTCCGACCCTACCCATATTATTTCTCTTTTTCAATAGGGTTGTTCCATCAATTCGAACTATCCTATATTATTTCTATTTTCTAGTTGGGTTGTGACATCATTCTGACCCTACCCATATAATTTTATTTCTTAGATTGTGACCACTTTTAGCCATCAAATCTAATACTCCGACATATGAGCATGTTCTGGCCAGTTTTTCGGTGACTTGTTTGATATCGACTCTTCTATTGATTTCAACATGATCCATATACTTTATACTAGATTTTGAGCAATTACAACGACCACTGCATTGTGAAGAAGTCTATATGGAGCAACCACCTAATTTTGTTGCTCAGGGGGAGTTTAGTAGCCTTGTATGTTGATTACGTAAGTCACTCTATGGTCTGAAACAGTCCTTGCAAGCTTGGCTTGGGAAGTTCCAACACTGTAATTTTATCACTCAGTGTTTTATCGGCATTATGTATCAAATTTAGTATTTCATGAGAAGACCAAGCACATTGAGATTGATTGTCAATTTTGTGAAGTCGAGTGATCAACTTGCAGATATCTCACCAAGCCCCTCATCAGTCCTCGTGTTAATTACATTTGTAACAAGCTAGGTACATGAATTGTATGCACTAGCTTGAGGGGGAGTGTTAGAATAGGAATAGGTTTATACAATCCTATTAGAATAGGAATAGTAATAGAAATAGAAATAGGAATACTAAATAGTATCCTACTTGGTAAAGGATTGTATTCTAGGGTCTATAAATAGGGTCTCAATGTAATAATGTTAACAACACAATTCAATAATATTTTTCCCATATATTTCTCACAGTAACCATACCAATTAAGGTGGAAAGAGAGATACTTAATTCTAAGGGACCACTCTAGCAAGTAGGCCAACATGTTACATTGAGAGAGAATTAGAGCTGTTTCGCATATAACAAGTTCGGGACAATCCTCTAAAATGTTTTTTTTTTAAAATACTTTAGTTAGAACAGAAGTAATGGATAGAAAATTTGAAGGGAAGTGATAAAATTCCTTGCATGTTCATCCCCTTTCACCAAGATAACATTGTTTACTGGGAGAACGCACTTAGGTTCCAACAAATAGTCAATCGGTGGAAGAAGGAATAGGCGGGAAAGGGAACAATTCATATAAAGAAGAAGAAAAACAAACATTACTTATGTACTCACTATGTTCCATACTCACACGTGGTTCTAAATCCCACAGCCTATGTTCCAATCTTTGTATCCGTGAATGCAGTGCTGCTTCAACCACCTGAAATTTTCAGAAAAGAAGTCCTTTTACAAACTTCAACCATAAATTACAGTTGACCCTCCAGCTCCATTCAGAATTTCCTTCTATGTGTTGTGATTCTTGTTTCTAATCAGTTGCATAACATGAATAGGCGTCCATTTTAGATACCTATATTAGTAAGCCTACACTAGCACTAAGTCTAAAATGATGAGCCTCTTGACATGCCCAATAACCAAATTAAAGCCATCATGCTTTAAGTCATTCAAATTTGATATCAAGAATCACATCAAGTTCCTTCTACATCAGCAAGTGAAGAACATAAACCTACTTTTCCATTTGATTTAATGGATCAAGCCTAACATGGATAACATTACAGAATTGATGCATATTAACAATTTTTGTCTGCAATTCCCTAGGGATCATTGTGTTGGCATTTTAACTGAAGTAGTGGCCTTCAAAGCAAAGTAACAAAACTACAGATCAAATTGCGGGGATAATTTACAATTCTTTTCAATATGTAAAGCTGCTGATTGAACTGACTAACCTCCACTACAAATGGCATAGATGGCCCTCCATTTGTGCTTGTAGGATTTAGCCGTGGTAACAATGAATCGATGAAAGCCTTTCCTCCTAGACTATAAGCAGACCATTTATAGTGTTAAGTTCACTGTTAGATCTGACCAAAAACGATTAGAATATCTAGTATGAAATATTACCGATTATAATTAAATATAAGGACTCGTTCTTGCATTACTATGGCCCTTAAAGAACCTAGATTCAATAGAATTGCATGCTCACGGACCTGAAAGAAGATTTGTAAATGAAGTCCATCAAAAACAGCTGCTAGAGGAGTCAAATGCTTAAGTTGAGCAAGCAGTTGATCTAAAACTCTTAATCACAAATTATGATAGAGAATATCTTAAATTAAAAGCTAAGGTAGAACTGCACAACTTGGCTAATCTTCAACAGTATCTCTATGAAATCTGAGTAACAAACAGTTATTTCTACCTCGGCAGTCATGGTAATAAGCAATAAAAACTTCCAACTATGTTGTTTTTAGATTCGTAAAGAAGTCAATAAAAGAGAAAAAAAGACAAGGATAAGGAAGAGATGTTCTTCAGTAGCAAAACGAACAAGGATGAATCAGCAAAAAGAAAAAGAATTTCTTTTCTATCAGTGCCTTCCAAAGATGAGCCTTGCCTGCATGAGCCAACAGCCATCAATTTGCCTAAATATGAGTTCATTAAGTGACATTCTTGCCATGTAGTGTATGCCAAATTTCACCAAGAGAAATTACAAACAAAGCATGGGGGTAGTTAATGAGCTTGTTTTATGAATTAGGAAATACCAAGATTTAGTCTAAAATAACATTCATAAGTTGCATGTAGCAGAGTTCTTATACTGAAAATAGATGGTTGATTTAAGATCGTTGCTTCAACCATGTTTAGAAGGTTATCTCAATATAAGTCATAACAAGTAAATAAAAGTGATATTTTTATGGAAAAATTCATAGTTGATAGCAATTGAAATACCAATAAAGCAGGCATTGAATTTGTCAACCACAATGACGGATCAACACTCCTGATATCTCGAGGACGTAAACCTGTTTTCAGCATATTAGGGAAACCAGTAAGTGACATGAGAAGAAGTCCTTTAATATAGGGATTTCAGATCAGTCAACTGGGTTATAGTAACTTCAAAAATTAAATTTAGAAGGATTCCTAGTATGATCGAGGTTAAACATAGAAGTAAATGCTTTTGAGTATTAATTCTTTGCGATAAAAGTAGGATGAAAACTAACTAGAGACTTTTATCAGATAATTTTTTAGAGAACACAAAATGCACCGGGTAATTGGCATCAGTAAACATTAGAGATGAATGTTTTCACACAATTATTGATAGATGGAGTTACTCTCAAGTACAGAACTTTTTTGTGAGTTCATAGTCAGTTACATCATATAATCTCAACTTTATAGGTAATAGAGGGAACACATTTTGAGATTAAAGAAGAGAAAAGACTCACCACTGGACTTCAGCAAGTGCCTTCTGTTTATTTTCCTTTTTGCTACCGTCCCACACGTCTTCACCTCCACTACCTTAAGAAAAAAGCTGAAGTATTATCAATAACTTCTCCATCTTAATTCACTTTGAGGGAGGATGGGAATTTTCCAAATGTTGATACAAATTAACCATCAAAGTAATTGACCAGCTCAACAGTTATGATCATCTATTGTGAAGAGATGCATCACATATTAATTGTGAGATAAATTAACCATCAAAGTAATTGACCAGCTCAACATTTATGATCATCTATTGTGAAGAGATGCATCACATATTAATTGTGAGCTAACCATCAAGAAGTTCTCCCAGAATAATAATGTTTTCTTCTTGTTATGAAGAGAGTATAAAATACTTGTAATTACAAGGAGAAAACAATGTCCGGATCTTTCTGGTGTGCTATCTAACGTAATCAGGAAGTTGAAATTAAGAGGGAGGAGTCTCTCTGTGCAATAACAGATGTAGCTTCATCAATATCTTTAAATTCAATACTTTGATCGACTTTTGACAGTCTGGAAACCTAATTTTTTTCTTCATTAAGAATATTAAATCGCAATGTGATAAGTTGCATTCTACTTCTCTCCTTTCATCTTTCACTGACATAGTTTTAACTACTGTAAAGACACCCAAAGTTGACCAGAAGTCTCTTCTGCCTATTGATTTTCTATATTAGTCCTATAAGATTCATTTTATATTGCAGATTAAATATAATACATCACAACCATAAGCAAATATCAATGCCTATTTAAGAAGCTGAAAGATTTCAAAACATTTTCCTTTAAGGAAATCCATCATTCCTGATTTCCCTTGTTTTACCTACATAATCATATCGCGAACTCCTCCAAAGGAACTAGTTACAATTCCATACGTTTATGCTTCACCATTTCTCACAGTGCAGATTTAACATTATTGTGGCCACCAGAATAACTTATCTAAACTAAAAATGATGCATCAAGTAGATTTGACGAGTATAAGTTTTCCAGTAGCTTTTGCTCAAATCATGTATATATGTTTTAATGTTGACTAAATATCTACAAATATTTGAACGTGAACTAGTTATTCTTGTATATTAACTTGAAGTTATTGTTGGAATTCATGAACTTCAAACTCTGAATCTGGCTCTGCAGTACAACTAATCAGTCAATCAACTCAATTTTTGTATATTATACTAAGTTTCAAGCTATAAGCAAAATTTAGACTAGAAAATAACTCACAACGAAAATTGTATAAACTGATTAAAGGATGAATAAAGTTAAGCACCTCATAAACAGGTTCACGGATTCCAAGGGACAATGAATCGCCACCGGAGGCAGAAGCACTCCTCTGCGAACTAACAGAGTCTCCATGAGTTACAACCTTATCATCATCTCCCCGAACCTCATCGCCGTCATCATTATCATTATCGCCGCCGTCCTTCACCAACGCTTCCAGCTCAGTCGATTTCGCAAAACACTCAACTACTCTCACCTTCCGAGCTCTCAGAGAAGTCGCGTGATTCTTACGCGAGAACGGAAACTCCATCCGCGACCGGAAAATCGCGTATCCTCCTGTAATCAAAACTCGAAACTCCGGCGATCGAACCGGTAACTGAAGTAAATACGGAGCATTTGCCGCCATTGCAGAGAAAGCTGCCGGAGATCACGATAAAATTGAGAGATCTCGAGAATCTTCTAGATATTTGCCCAATTCATATGGATAATGTGGGGGCGATAATGGTGTTAATATAGGTGTGTGTGACTGTGTATGAAAAAGAGGATGAAGCTGGTGGTTGTTATTTGAAGAAGACAACATGTGAATGGTTTGGTTGTAGGAGGGAAAATGAAAGAAGAAGAGAAATATTTTATGGTGAAGATTGATGCCACCTCACCCTATAATATCCAACGACTTTAACATGACTCATTTTAAAAAAAAAATGCAACATACCTGGTGTAATCCATAAGTGGTATCCGGGGAGAATAGGGGCGGAGCCAATATTAAGGGTTGAACCTTTTTCGATGGAAAATTATATTATTTATATATGATTAAATAATATTTTATGTATATATAGTAGATGTCGAATCTCCTTCGGCTACTTTGTGTGTCTATTTCTATAGATTTTGAACACTCATATTAAAAATTCTGATTCCGCCACCGAAGAAAAATGAGAATAATGTGTAAATAGTCTTAATCCTCTATCTTGTAGTGATAAAATTTGTTTCGATCCACGTTCCACTTGAGTAAGAAAGTATCGACAAACAAGTGTTTAAGCAAATACAATAACAAATAAGGGATGTTGAAAACGATGGAGAAGAGAATCCTATCAATAATAAATAATAGGATACTTAAAGCAAAGAAAATAATAGATAATGCCTAAGTCAAAGAAACAAGATAGTTAAAGCAACTACACAAACGCTCGACTATTTACTCACATTCAATCCTAATTCTCAAGTCTCAACATTCATATCTTCTTATTTAGGGTCTTGTATTTCATTTGATTTAATTAATCAACTAAAAACATACATTAATTAATTATAGTAGGAGAAGTATGTATGGAAACAAAATTAATTAATCATAGTACGAAAGTATATATGGAGACAAAATTAATTAATTATAGTAGAATTGTAGAAGTATATATGGAAATAAAAAAGTTTGTGTAAAACATATATCCTGATATAACTCAGTCGTGATGGCTGACTATGTAGGTGGTTGGCAGTGTAGAATGGTGATGACATAACTAATGATGGAGATCGACGGGTGCCGGAGGCAGAGGCGGTGTGAAGTTCAGTAATTGAACAAACAAAACTCAGATAACAATGAAGAAGAAGAAGAAGAATTTCATTAACTTGAACTAAAAACAGTAACTGAATGAATACATTGCTATATGAAAGATACTACTAATCTCTATGAACTAACTCCTATATATACAAGATAATCAGCTCACTAATTGTCTAACAACCTTCTAACTAGCTTAATTATGAGCTAATCATCAATTGACAGTTGTACACTTTATTGACTGCTCAACATCCTCCCTCAAGCTAGATATATGAAAAACATTTTTCATTCCTAGCTTGGCAAGTAGATATGTATGTTGTACACAAGTAAGTCCTTTTGTAAGTAGGTCTGCATGTTGGTCTGTTGTATTCAGGTATGTTGGTTGAACCAATCCTTGTTGAACCTTCTCCTTGATGAAGTGACAATCAATGTCTATGTGCTTGGTTCGTTCATGAAACACTAAATTAGTTGCTATCTATATAGCTGATTTCCTATCACTGTGTATAGGAACAGGTAAATCAACTTGTATTCCCAGCTCCTTGAAAATTCCTACCAACCACACTATTTCTGCAACTGTTGAGGCTAAGCCTGTATCCAGCCTCTGCTGAACTCCTTGAGATAGTGTCTTACTTCTTAGATTTCCAGGTGTAAGTGAACTCTCATATGTAACCATGTAGCCTGTTATGGACTTTCTATTGTTTGGACATGATGCCCAGTCTGCATCACAATAAGCCATCAACTGATTACTAACATTAGCTGTCATGAATATCCCTAGACCTGGTGACTGTTTTACATACCTAACCACTCTCATTGTTGCCTCCATGTGTGATGTCTAAGAACTGTGCATAAATTGGCTCAAAAGTTGCACTGCATATGCAATGTTTGGCCTTGTTATAGTCAGATAAAACAATCTTCCTATCAACTTTTGATATACACTTGGATCCTTCAGCAATTTGTCATGATCATCAGTGGGTGGAAAGTGCAGATCAAACTCTATAGTTGTGAGCTTCTTGTTCAACTCATTAGGAGCTCCAATAGGTTTTGAACTTGACAACCCCATGTCTGAAATTAGTTCAAGGCAATATTTCCTCTGATGCATAAGAATTCCAGTATTGTTCCTTGCAAATTCAATGCCCAAAAAAAACCTCAATTCACCTAGATCTTTTATCTTGAAATTATCCTTGTGGATTCCTTTTGTCTCCATAAGCATATTGTGATCATTTCCTGTAATTAACAAATCATCAACATAGACTAGTACCACCACCATATCTGTTCCTTGATGCTTTGTGAATAAAGAGTAGTCATAATGGCTTTGTTTGAATCCTGAGTTGACTAAGGTTGTAGTTAACTTGATGTTCCATTGTCTGCCGGCCTGTTTAAGTCCATAAAGTGATTTGGTGAGCTTGCATACTGACCCCTTCTTACTTTGATAGACAAAACCCAAATGTAAGTCCATATAAACTTCTTCATTCAAGTCACCTTGTAGGAAAGCATTGAAAACATCTATCTGATAGATTTGCCATTGATGTAAAGCAGCCAAAGCTATGACAGCCCTCACAGTTACCATTTTTAGAACTGAGGAGAAGATTTCCTGATAGTCCAAGCCTTCATTTTGGTTATACCCCTTGGATACCAACCTTGCCTTGAATCTGTCCATTTCCCCATCAACCTTATACTTGATCTTATATACCCATTTGCATCCTATTGCCCTCTTGTCCTTGGGCAGCTCAGTAATCACCCATGTATGGTTGTCTTCCAATGCTTGGATTTCTTGTTTCATAACCTCAATCCATCTAGGATCATGTACAGCTTCATGATAGGATGTAGGTTCCCTCTCTTGTGAAAACTTAGTTACAAATCTTCTGTATGATGGTGTAATACTGCAATAGTCCACTACATCTGCAATAGGACAAATGCATTGCCCTGCAACTCTATTTTTTGGCAAAACATAGTCTGTATGCCAGAGAGGTGGCTTAGCTTGTCTGTTTGATATCCTGACATTAACTATACCAGGTGTGGATGAAGAATCTGATGATGATGTTGAACCTGATGATGCTTGATCCTGAGAAGCTGTGATTGTGTTGACATGAGCAGAATCTGAAATTGCAGCAGCAGGATTTTGATGATGTATAGACTCAGAGTCATTTTTCGCATTCCTGATAACAACACATGGTGTAATCTCATAGTCCTCCAAAGGTGAATATGATAGTGTAATCTCTGGATCAATGTTTTGATCAAGGTCAGTGGTTTGAAAATGAAACTCTTGCTCATGAAAAATCACATCCATTCCCTGCTAACAAATAACCTCCTGGATTCAATGTCCAATATTTTATACCCCTTCTGACTGGCAGCATATCCTAGCATAACAACTTTCTTTGCTTTAGATTCAAACTTATCACCTCTATGCAGGTTTGTAGCAAAACCAAGACAACATATCACTCTTAAATGTGATAAGGAAGGCTACTTGTTATACATCACTTCAAATGGTGATTTA